GGGAGAGGCCGTGGGAGAAGTGACTCGCATCGAGGAGATGAAGGAGGGTCACAAACTCGGAAGAAGAAGTTTGACAAAAGTAAAATTATGTTATACAGTTGTCAGCAGATGGGACACTTCGCATCAGAGTGTTCCATAAAAGATGAACAACTCAACTTGATAGAGATGCTGAAGGATAAGGAGTCTTCATTGCTGATGATAGAGGCGTGTGAAATTAAAACCACACATGACAAAGAGCCTGATTTTGTGTTGTTGAATGAAACTATAGTGTCGCCACCAGCAAATATTGGAGCTGGAAATTCCTGATACCTAGATGCTGGAGAAAACAACCACATGTTAGAAGAAAGGAGGGTGTTTCATTAGCTCGACACATCTGTTGTTGGAAATGTACATTTAGGTGATAACTTTGTGATAGACATTTGTGGTTGAGGAATAGTGCTCTTCAAATGCAAAACCGATGAGCACGTGATCTTATTACAAGTCTATTACATACCCAAACTCAAAAGCAACATAATAAGTTTAGGACAACTGGATGAGAGTGGAAATAAAATTGTCATAAAGGACAGTGTGATGAAGATATATGACAGTGCTAGGAGCTTGATTATTATGGTGACCAGACAATCCAACAGATTGTATGTAGCAAAATTGAATCTTGCAGATCAGGTGTGTTTGATGGCAAATATCAATAACGATTGTTGGCTCTAGCACGCGAGGTATGGACACCTGAATTTTCACTCTTTAAAACAATTAACTGACAAAAGAATGGTTGAAGGTTTGCCGAAAATCACTCAAGTCAATCAATTCTATGATAGGTGTTTAATTGGAGAGCAGCATAGACTCCTTTTCCGCGAACAACAACATATCGTGCAAAGGAGCCATTGGATCTCGTCCATGGAGATCTATGTGAACCTATTTCGCCAATGACTTATGGACGTAACAAATATTTTATATTATTGATGGATGATTTTTCACGATTAATGTGAGTGTTTTTGTTGAAAAACAAGAATGAAACACTGGGGGTATTTAAAAAGTTCAAGATTAGTGTGGAGGTAGAGAAAGGCAAGAAGATTAAGAGTCTTAGAACAGAATGTGGAGGAGAGTTCGACTCTCCTATCTACTGCTTTTAAAGACTTACGAGAATGAAGGCATGAAGAGATTTCTTACTGCACCATTTTCATCACAGCAAAATGATGTAGTAGAAAGGCGAAATCGAACGGTTGTAGAGATGTTCAGATGTATGTTAAAGAGCAAAGAGATGCCTGCAAATTTTTTGGTAGAAGCAGTCAAAACTATTGTGTATATTTTGAAAAGATCGCCAACAAAAGAAGTTGCAGATGGTACATCATATCAAGCTTGGTTTGACAGGATACCGAAGGTTCATCACTTTAAAAATCTTCGGGTGTCTTGCTCATGCCAAGAATATATATTCACACCTTCCTAAACTTGATGATATGAGTGTGAAGACAATTATGTTGGGATATGAAGATTAAACCAAAGCTTACAGACTATTGGATCCACAAAAGGACAAAATTATGGTGAGCAGGGATGTGTTGTTCGAAGAGGAGAAGTAGTGTTGGGAAGAAATCACAAATGGTGATGATGAGCAAAGAGGAACTTTCACTGTTCAAATTTCAGAAAAACAGAGTAAAACAGAGGAGAGGAATATTGAACAAATCAAAGTTGATCTAGATGAAAGGCAAAGGGAAAATTCGTCCTCAACTTTATTAACGCAAAACAGTGCCTCAAATGCATCATCATCAAGTTCGTCAACGCCGAAAAAGTTCAGGTCTCTAAAAGATATTAAAAAGGAATTGAACTAGAGGAAGAAGCAGTGGGCCTTTATTTTCTTTCTATAGAGGAGCCAACCTCATATGGGGAAGCTACTAAGAATGAAAACTAGAGGAATGCCATGAAGTTTGAAATTCTCTCCATTGAAAAGAATAGAACGTGTGAACTCGTAGATTTGCCAAAGAATCATAAATTAATCGACATCAAATAGATTTTCAAATTAAAGAAAAATCCAGATGGAGAGATCGTGAAACATAGGCGAGATTTGTGGCCAAGGGATATGCACAGTAGTTTGGTGTAGGTTACAGCAAAGTATTCGCATAAGTGGCCAAGTTAGAAACAGTGAGATTAATTCTGGTCTATGCAGCAATTAAGAACTGTGAAGTACATCACATGGATGTGAAGACAACTTTTATAAATGGCGAGTTAGAAGAGGAGGTGTATATTTCTCAACTAGAAGGGTTCGTTGACAAGGAAAATCCAAACATGGTATTAAAACTTTGTAAAGCCTTATATGAATTAAAATAGGCTCCGAGGGCCTGAAATTTTAAACTTGATCAATGTTTGCGGTCGCTTGGTTTTGTTAGATGTTCACAGGAATATGCTCACTACAAGAAAATTAATGGAGCTGAAGCAATGATAATTGGCACATATGTGGATGACTTAATCATAGCCGGCTCAAACAAACAAGTTATAGCTCAGTTTAAGCAAGAGATGCAGCAGAAATTTGAGATGAACGATCTTGGACTTTTGAGCTATTACTTGGGTATTGAGGTACGACAACGCAAGGAGTCAATCACTTTTATGTCATACCGAATATGCAAGGAAAATCCTAGAGAAGCTAGGAATGGGGGAGTTCAATCCTTGTTCGATTCCCATGGAACCAAGAATGGAGATGAGCAAACATGGGAATGGAGAACCTGCACTGACAAAACACGTTACAGAAGTATTATTGAAAGCTTACGCTATCTAGTTAGTACTTGACCCGACATAGCCTACTCTGTTGGTGTGATGAGTAGATACATGGAGGCACCAACAACTTCACATCTCACAACAGTAAAACAAATATTGAGGTATGTGAAAAGTACTCTTAGTTTTGGTTGTGTTTATAAGAAGCTGTCGAATGTGGAGCTAGTAGGATTTAGCGATAGTGATATGGCTGGGGATATCAATGATAGGAAGAGTACAACCAGAGTCTTGTACTATTTAGGAGTAAATCCAATAACATGGGTATTGCAGAAGTAGAAGGTGGTAGCTTTGTCGTCATGCGAGGTTGAGTATTTAGCCGCAACTGCTGGAACGTATCAAGGAATATGGTTGGGCAGAATTTTGAGTAACATCAGTCAACTGCAAGTAAAACCCAAGCTTAATGTTGACAACAAGTCAACTATAGCGTTGGCAAAAGATCCTGTTTACCATGATCGAAGTAAGCATATCGATACTAGGTTTCATTTTATTCGCCAATGTGTGTAAACTGAAGCTATTGAACTGGAATATGTGAACACAGATGAACAGTTGACGGATATTCTGACGAAGTTGTTAGCAAGACAACTGTTCCTGAAGTTAAGAGAGAAGATTGACTTGAGGAGAGACTATTCAGCATAGTTAAACAAGTTTACGAAAGTAATTGTTGGTTATAAACTTTTTTTTTTTCTTTTTACTATAAGCTTTGGCTAAAAATAGCTGTTGACATTTACTTTATTTTGCTGAACTAGCTTCTAGGTAGTGAAATTAGTGGAAGTAGTGATGATGATTTGTAGCAAGAACTGTGTTATCTGTCATTATATAAGAAAAACGGTGTCAAGTTATAATGGGTAACACACCACAAAAAAAAAAAAAAAAAAAAAAATTGTGCATCTTTACTCCTTGAAATCTGTTATTGCTTGTTGTTTTTCGATAATCAGCCCGAGAAATTCGGTGAGAGGAAATCGTCGACGGGAGGTTGTTGGAAGAAAAATAAAATGTGTAAAATAAAAGAGAGAGAATGACGGAAGTTTTGACTGCTTTCAAAATCAGTTATTCAATATTCTAAACCGATTTCATCCTAAAAATGGTTGAAGAGTGAACAACTAAATCTGGTTCAAAATGAGTTATTCAATATTCTGAACAGATTTACTATTTAAATATAAACTATCCTAAAAATGGACTATCCTAAAAATGGCTGTAGAGTGGCCAACTAAATCTGTGCCACTCCCACTTTGGTGATCCATTCGACGTGTTTTGTCAAATGATCAAACGGAGGTATTCCTCAGATTGACCCTGAGCTTGCTCCAGCAATTCTTGCTCAGGTGACCTCTCTTCCCACAGTACGAGCACTGGATTGGCCCGTCATTAGTCAGCTCCTCCTTTTGATCTGCCTCTTTCTCATGCATACACTGGTGAGATTTCCAGGCTTCTTACCGACTTTGCGGCTGGAGGGCCCATTGCTCTCGCGAGTGTCATCACGAAGCTTTAGGCGTGCAAGCCATTCCTCCTCAGTGAGGAGTAGACGACCCTCCTTGTCGACAGCTGAAATGGTATTTTTCTTTCGCTGCTCGACGTTACGCAGTCTTCCAGTCACCTCTTCCACCGTTAGGTCTTTCACGTTAAGCAATGTCTCGATTGAAATCGCAACTTGCTCGAGGTGATCGGGGACGACCTACAACATCTTCTTCACGATTTCTGTCTCGCTGATTGCTGCCACCGAGTGTGGTGATGCTGTTGGCGAGCCCCGTGATCTGCATTGAAAAATCATCAACGAATTCACCATCCTTAAAGTGGATCTCTGAGAGCTCCTTCCGCAGCTGCTCGATGTTAGATTCCCGCAGCGCGGTGCACTTGGTGGAGAGAAATGCCTGCATCTCTAGGGGCACAGATCGTAATATGGCGGCGAACGCCAGCCGATCCTCACGATACTCAATCGTTTCTCTTTCCTCTGGCTCGACAGCATGCCATAACCCTTGCGCGTGTAGGTTGACGCGCATCAACAAGATCCATTCGTTATAGTTGGACTTTGTCAATATTGGATACTGAACGACGACAGTCGTTGTCTTCCTAATCACTCGCTCAACGATAACTCGACGCCCGTCATCACGGCGTCGGCCTCTTCGTGGTGGTGATGGAGATGTCGACACACGGCGGAGGCAGCGTGGAGGAGTGAGTGAGCCTGCCCGAGATGGGCCCCACGATGTGTGTGTTTTTACACTTTGCATTTTCTTCTACTCAAACTTGAGACCTGTGTGTTGTTAGGTCGACGCTCTAACTACTTGAGCTATTCAACTTGTTTGTTGATAGGTTGGCTCCTCCGCAATGATTTACACCGATGGCTTCAACCTGGCTCTGATACCACTTGTTGTTTTTCGATAATCAGCCAGAGAAATTTGGTGAGAGGAAATCGTCGACGGGAGGTTGTTGGAAGAAAAATAAAATGTGTAAAATAAAAGAGAGAGAATGGCTGAAGTTTTGACTGCGTTCAAAATGGCTGTAGAGTGGCCAACTAAATCTGTGCCACTCCCTACAAAATTTTCGTCTAAAACTTTGGTGATCCATTCGACGTGTTTTGTCAAATGGTCAAACGGAGGTATTCTGAAATCGTGTGAATCTAAATAAGGAAAAGCTGAAAAACTCAGGTTTTATCTAACATTGCTTACAGCTTCTTGCCCAATTCTTATAGATAGGTTGTCATCCATATCATCTCCTTTTCAGGTTCAACTATTATCATGTATTCAACCTCAGTAGAGGAAAGAGCAACGCATTTCTGAAGCTCAGACATCCCATCATCCAAAACCGATTCGTGAGGAAAAAGAAATTTAAACTACAAAAGGTTAATATTCAAATTCATTGAGTTTTAATACTTACGAACATGCTAGTTATTTACTATAATTGATGTTCTAAAAGTGCCTAAGATCCAAATTGCTTCCACATGTGTTATATTAATACCATCAATTGGTATCAGAGCAAGTTTTAGGCACTTTATTTACATTAATTTGATCATGGTGGGTACCATTTCATGAATGAAATTTTGTGGTTGCTAAAGTGAATGGTTTTGGTTTTGATATTTTTTTTATGCTTCCATTTGATACAATTATTGTAATAAGCCTAATGTGTATGAGCTTTAATGAATGAAGAAAGGTCTGTAATTTTTATGGAGTCATTAGAGTCCATTTTAGGTTGTAATTGATCGAAAATGGAAGAGATAGCAAGCTGAACCGAAGAAGAAGATGGAAGAGGCAGTTCGGGTGTTTTTTCTGCCTTTGGAGTCTGGTTCAACGGTTTTAAGGGTTGGTTCGCCCATTCGTGATCCTCGGGGTGGTTCAAGTTATTTTTAATTATTAATGTAATAATTTAGTTAATTGCTTGCTTTAAAATGCCAAAACCAACTCACTTTAGTGTGTTTAATTAATTATGCATTATGAATGTATGTTTTAATTAAATAGAAAATGTATATGCATAAAGTATGTCATATAGATTTAAAATCCCACCATAGACTAAGCATGTTTCATGCATTCCAAGTATGTTATAAGTGTTATAATGTATAGTATGCATGTTTAGGGTTCCATGAGTGATAGATATAAATTGTTATATTATTGCATGGAATGGATGATTATATAATTGTTATATAAAGCATGTTAGATGCATGTTATAGGTTATTTTCAACGTCATAAAATGAGATAGATGTTAAAATCTATAATGAAGATAAGTGCATGCTCACTTAAGGTTAAGAACCAAATACGATCAATTTTAATAGTTAAAATAAGTCGATGTCTTGTAAACTTGTGCTTACAAGAAAGCTCACTTGGCACGATCTTGACTAAGGCTGGAGGTACTTAAGTTGACGGTTTACGGAACACCTACTACCTGGAGATCGGACCAGTACTTGAGCTTAGTTAGCCCAATTTTATGAGCATGCTTGAGTGATGTAAGTTTTGGAAAAATCACCTAGACTTAGGTTATATTTAATTAGCCGAAATATACCTAAGTAATGAGTACACCCAACCGTCTAAAATACTTAGTGGGAGGAAAAAGGTATATGAGATACATCGTTTTCCTTTTCACGCTCTCTGAAAAATTCACACCGTGAGATTCATGCTCGGCCTCGTGTCGCCCTGGGAGCGTCCTCTATTCGGAAAGTATTTGCATGATTCAATAACAAGGCGAATAACGAAAGTATTTATAGTAAGTGGAAGAAGGAAGTATATCAACACGTCCTATGGTCTCCACCACTAGGTTGCACCGTGAGATTCCCATGTTCCGCCTGCATGTTGCCCTAGAGCAACTACCCATTCGGAGGGTCGTGACATGGGAGTCGAAACAACGCAAACTCCAGAAATGGATAGGATTTCTTAGGTCCATTCCCAACTTTGGCTTTTTCATTCGATAGCATTGTTGGGACCGATCTATGAGGTCTGAAATTGGTGGGTCACACTTGCGAAGAATTACTAAGAGTTAGTATATTCTTGACCAAAATAGCGATAACTAAAACACTATAGGAACAAGAGTTATTCTGGGATTAGTGTTTAAGTCAAGAATGTCTTGGTTTAGTGAATGAGTGATTGACCGCCCCTCGGTTGCAGTTGCTCTAACTCACTAAAGTATCGTTGCAAATTAATAATTTTTGGGTACATTATTACATTTGCTAAAACTGGTTGGATTAAACAAGATTAAGTCAAATCACTAATAGAATTTTCTTTATATCACAGCATGACAAACTCAATAGTACAATTACTCGCTTCTGAGAAATTAAACGGTGACAATTACACAACTTGAAAATCAAACCTAAACACAATACTGGTAATCGATGATTTAAGGTTTGTTTTAACTGAGGAATGTCCTCCAAACCCCAGCTCAAATGCAAACCAAACAGTTCGGGATGCGTATGACAGATGGATAAAGGCAAATGACAAAGCCCTAGTGTACATTCTAGCCAGCATATCTGATGTTTTGGCTAAGAAACACGATGTTATGGGTACTGCTAAAGAGATTATGGAATCTCTAAAAGGGATGTTTGGACAACCGTCCTTCTCCCTTCGACATGAAGCCATAAAATACATTTACAACTGCCGTATGGAAGAAGGGACCTCAGTTAGAGAATATGTCCTGGACATGATGGTCCATTTTAATGTGGCAGAAGAAAACGAAGCTGTCATTGATGAGAAGAGTCAAGTCAGTTTTATCATGGAGTCTCTTCGGAAGAGCTTCTTCTAGTTCCGCACAAATGTGGTGATGAACAAAATAGAATATAACTTGAATGCTCTTCTCAATGAGCTACAGACTTATCAGTCCCTCTTAACTAACAAGGGACGTACAGGAGAAGCAAATGTTGCTATCTCCAAGAAATTACAATGAGGATCGTCCTCCAAAAATAAGTCTGAACCTTCAACTTCTAAAAGTGTTTTGATGAAGAAGAAAGGTAAAGGGAAAAATAAGATTCCTACTAACCGCAAACACAAGGCTCAAAAGGCAGATAAAGGAAAATGTTTCCCTTGCAACGAAAATGGGCACTAGAAGAGACTGCCCAAAATACCTTGCAGAGAAGAAAGCTGAAAAGACACAACAAGGTAAATATGATTTACTCGTTGTAGAAATATGTTTAGTAGAGTATGATAACTCAACTTGGATACTAGATTCAAGGGCCACTAATCATATTTGTTCTTTTTACCAGGAAACTAGCTCTTGGAGAATGCTTGCGGACGGCGAGATAACACTCAGGGTTGGAACAGGAGAGGTTGTCTTAGCAAGATCAGTAGGAAATTTAAAGTTATTTTTTTGGAGATAGATTCATTATATTAGATAATGTACTTTTTGTTCTAAGAATGAAAAGAAATCTAATATCTATCTCTTGTTTATTAGAACAATTGTATAAAGTATCTTTTGAAATCAATGAAGTGTTCATTTGCAAAAGAGGTATTCATATTTGTTCTGCAAAACTAGAAAACAACTTATATGTGTTAAAACCGAGCGAAACAAAAGCCATTTTAAATACCGAGATGTTTAAAACAGCTGAAACTCAAAATAAATGACAAAAAATTTCTCCTAATACCTATATTTGGCACTTAAGACTAGGCCACATTAATCTCAATAGGATTGAGAGATTGGTTAAAAAATGACTTCTAAATGAGTTAGAAGACAACTCCTTACCTCCATGTGAGTCTTGTCTTGAGGGTAAAATGACTAAACGATCATTTTTCGAAAAAGATTATAGAGCTAAAGAAACCTTAGAATTCGTGCATTCAGATCTTTGTGGTCCAATGAATGTCAAATCACGAGGAGGGTATGAATATTTTATCAGTTTTATTGATGATTAGTCAAGGTATGACTATCTTTACCTAATGCGTCACAAGTTCGTAGCTCTTGAAAAATTCAGAGAGTATAAGACTGAGGTTGAGAATTTATTAGGTAAAACTATTAAAACACTTCGATGAGATCGAGAAGGAGAGTACATGGACTTTAAGATTTTAGGACTATATGATAGAACATGGAATAAGGTCTCAACTCTCAGCCCCTAGTATGCTTCAACAAAATGGTGTATCAGAAAGGAGAAATAGAACTTTGTTAGACATGGTTCGGTCTATGATGAGTTTCGCTCAATTACCCGATCCGTTTTAGGGATATGCAGTGGAGACTGCTACATACATTTTGAACATGGTTCCTACTAAGAGTGTTTCAGAAACACCTTATGAGTTATGGAAAGGGCATAAAGGTAGTTTATGTCACTTCAGAATTTGGGGATGTCCAGCACATGTGTTGTTGCAAAACCCTAAGAAATTAGAACGTCGTTCAAAATTATGTCTATTCGTAGGATACCCAAAAGAGACGAAAGGTGGTTTGTTTTATGACCCTCAAGAAAATAGAGTGTTTGTAACAACAAACGCTACATTCTTAGAGGAAGACCACGTAAGAAATCATCAACCTCGCAGCAAACTAGTATTAAGTGAAATTTTTAAAGAAGCTACTGATAAAACTACAAGAGTTGTTGATCAAGCTGGTCCTTCAACAAAAGTTGTTGATGGAGCTGACACTTCTGATCAATCACATCCTTCTTAAGAGTTAAGAATGCCTTGACGTAGTGGGAGGGTTATAACTCAACCCGATCGTTACTTGGGTTTGGCAGAAACTCAAGTCATCATACCTGATGATGGCATTGAGGATCCATTGACCTATAAACAGGCAATGAATGATAAAGATAGAGATCAGTGGATTAAAGCCATGAATCTTGAAATGGAGTCAATGTACTTCAATTTAGTTTGGGAACTTGTAGATCAACCAGATGGGGTAAAACCTATTGGTTACAAATGGATCTATAAGAGGAAACAAGACCAAACCGGTAAGGTATAGACCTTTAAAGCTCGACTAGTAGCAAAGGGTTATACCCAAAGAGAGGGGGTGGACTATGAAGAAACCTTCTCTCCTGTTGCTATGCTTAAATCGATTAGAATACTCTTATCTATTGCCACATTTTATGATTATGAAATTTGGAAAATGGATGTTAAGACAGCCTTTCTAAACGGCAATCTTGAAGAAAGTATCTATATGGCTCAACCAGAGGGGTTCATTGAACAGGATCATGAGCAAAGGGTTTGCAAGCTTAAAAGATCCATTTATGGGTTGAAGCAAGCATCTCGATCCTGGAATATAAAGTTTGATATTGCGATCAAATCTTATGGTTTTAAACAGAATGTTGACGAACCTTGTGTTTATAAAAGAATAGTCAACTCTACAGTAGCTTTCCTGGTGTTATACGTTGACAATATCTTACTCATTGGAAATGATGTGAGATTTCTGAGTGACATTAAGCATTGGCTAGCGACACAATTCCAAATGAAAGATTTAGGAGAGGTTCAGTTTGTTCTTGGAATCCAAATTGTTCGAAATCGCAAGAACAAATCACTAGCATTGTCTCGGGCATCGTACATCGATAAAATGTTGATTCGATATAAGATGTAGGACTCCAAGAAAGGATTATTACCTTTCAAGCATGAAATTTATTTGTCGAAGGAACAAAGTCCTAAGACACCTCAAGAAGTTGAGGATATGAGACGCATTCCCTATGCATCAGCGGTCGGTAGTCTGATGTATGCCATGTTGTGTACCCGACCCAACATATGCTATGCTGTGGGAATTGTCAGCATATATCAGTCCAATCCGGGACATGCTCATTGGACTGCCGTTAAGAATATCCTCTCAAGTATCTTAGGAGAATGAGGGACTATATGCTAATGTATGGTGCTAACGATCTGATCCTTACAGGGTACACTGACTCAGATTTTCAGACCGATGTAGATTCGAGGAAATCAACATCAGGATTTGTCTTCACTCTGAAAGGAGGAGCAATAATATGGAGAAGCATAAAGCAAGGTTGCATTACTGATTCCACCATGGAGGCTGAGTATGTTATTGCTTGTGAAGCAGCGAAAGAATCTGTATGGCTTAGGAAGTTCTTAACTGATTTGGAAGTCGTTCCAAATATGCATCTTCCCGTCACTCTTTATTGTGATAACAGTGGAGCAGTTGCAAATTCAAAAGAACCAAGAAGCCATAAGCGAGGAAAACATATTGAGAGCAAATATCATCTCATAAGGGAGATTGTGCAACGAGGAGATGTGATCGTCACACAGATAGCTTCAGAGCACAACATTGTTGATCTATTTACAAAGCCCCTCACGGCTAAGGTGTTTGAAGGGCACCTAGTGAGTCTAGGACTACGAGTTATGTAATCTAGGGCAAGTGGGAGAAAAGGCACGTGTATGTGATGCCCTAATTTATGTATTTATGTCTTTCTCTCTGCTCAACGTTATAAAAACCCACTAGAGTTTTAGTCCAAGTGGGAGTTTGTTGGGTTTTATGTCCTAAAACTCATAGTTTGTAAACAAAGACATTCTATTTTCAATAAAGTTATTATTGATATTTATTCAGTAAAGATTGTTATTGAATAAGGTGAACTTTACGATCATTAATCTAAATCCAATAAACTAAGAACACTCTGGCTATAGTATGATTACTTGAATTATATGTAGAGACATAAAAGTAGATCAAGTTCAAGTATATAGTCAAAATAATCTATAGTATAAGGATAAGGCTGAGTACCTTATTCTGGGGACACTATGGATGCGGCCCACTTTTGTAAATGATATAAACAATGTGATCACTAAATTGTACATTTGGAAACATGTGAGTGGGGGCGTCCTATACAATGAGTATTGCATAAGATCGGACCATGAAGAAAATCACTCTCTCTTTATAATGTCGTTTACTGTTGAGACTAATTTTCTTTTCATTCGATGATCTAGGTAACTCGATCTTAATCCTGAGCTAACCATGAATTCCTGTTCATTCGGAATTATCCTTAGATTTGCATGGGTGAGAGTGGCTCGAGTTCGCCGACTCAATAGGCCTCCCATTTCAGGGGTAAGACTGGGTGAATAGCTGGGGACGTGGGGTGCAAGATGAAATTCGCTCCTACCCACTTTTAGGGATAGAAGAGAGGTAGTTCCCTTAAGTACTGACTCTAGGTCTTGAACAAGGGGCCCCACCCACTCATTGGCCTGAGAGGGATTTGGTTTACTGGTTGGACCACAAACAAATTGTTCATAAGAGGATCAGTGGGACATAAGGAACAAGAAGTAACTTCAGAGGTAAAACAACTAATTGACTCAGCTCTAGTTACGAACAACCTGTGAAAGATCGACTTACTAATGATGGTTATATCAAATGGACAGAAATATATCTATAGTGAGGGGAGTGCAATTACTAGGCTATAGTGGAGTGTCCTAGTAGTTAACGAATGTTGGTTAACAAGGTTAATGAGTTTAACCAGTTAATCTTGGATCGTTGGAGCCCATGATCTATAGGTCCATTAGGTCCCTCTGCTAGTTCATATCAGACTAAACCATTAAATAGTGTGACGAGTGAGTTCGAAGTGTTCGAATTCAAATTAGGGAATATGTGCTGCATATATACGATATATTTAACTGCATTTTTGTTTTATTTACGAATTAAACAAAAAGAGAGAATTTGAGATATTTAAATAAGATTTAAATATCTTTAATCAATTATATATCGAAATTGATTGGGATTGGCATTTGAATTAATATTAAATATTAATTAAATAGTTTAATAATCATTTAATTTTACTTTAATTTGAAATTAATTATTCAAATTAATTGTTGAATTAAAATGAAGAAAATCAAAATGTTGACTTCATTTAATGGAAAAATTCATGTTAGTGGAATTTTGAGGTATCAAAATTTGGTTTAACCAAACTTGCATGCTTGTCAAATAAACTCCACAAGTTTGAGTGAACTTTTGAGTGTCAAAATTTGGTTAACTCAAACATGCATGCTTGCCACATAATCCCAAACATTATGATATGATGGCATGAGATGTATGATGATGATATGACATTGTATGATTGTATCTCATGTTTCCATGATGTGCATACATGAGATGTCATGTTGTATTATGATACTAAAGAGTTTTCTGATACACAGCCTCTAAGTAATATTATGTATGATGATAGTACGAAAGCTTATGCATGCATGTTACCTAGGGTAAAATGTAAGGATGTGTGAGTTGTGTAGCTTGAATGATTTAAGATGAAAAGTATAGGGATCTCATGCATATTGTATGGTCATTTACATTGGGATACTTCCTCTTTTATGTTGAGTATGGACGCGTACATGATGATGATCATCATCATGCTTTGCATGATATACGAGGGTCTATTGTACCTCTAAACGTCCGACTACAGCCAACTAGCTCGACCATGCAGGTCTAGGGGGTGTGTAGGAAAATACTACATATCCAACTTATTTGGACTGGAGGCCACCTCTATGATGTTTTTAAATGATAGGTGTATATTTATGATTGCATGTGTTTACATGCTTTGATCTCAATAGTGGGTCACTTACTGAGTATTTCTTAAAATATTCAAGTCATGTGCTACTTCTATATTGTAGGTAAAGGCAAGGCACCCTTGGATGGTTAATGGCGGCACAATTAAAGACTATGGAACTTGGATAGGGTAGTTGCATTTAATTTCGTAGATCTTAGGTTAGTGTAGGGCGTTGCTATTTTACACATGCAAGTCCTTGGCATTGTTTTATGAAGTCGTTTTTGAATATTTTCGCCTAAGAAGTTATGTCATGCATATAGTAGCGACTTTAGATTAGTAGAAAACTAGAGTCGTTACATTATAGAACCTGTATAGATCCTTGAGAGGTAAGTTTCAGTGAAGAGTGCTATACAAGAAATTGAGGCACCCTAAATGCTTAAATAACAATTGAGACTAGGCCTAAACTTCCTAGAGCCTAGAGTAAAGCACTTGAATACAAACTAAGTTAATAATGGGATGAGAGCGTACAAATAAGCTGTTTCCTCAGTATTTTTATACTCACCTCTTTTTTCTTTCCTTTTCAAGTTTTCACAGACTACCGGCTGAGATGGATGGGCGTCTGAGAGCTATATTTTTTAGTCTTTTGTACTTTGTTTCGTAATTTTATATCAAACCTTTTAGTCCTTTTCAAGTTTTTTTTTTTTTTTTCTTGGCGTTATTTGTCATTACCTAAAATTTGAAACCTTGAAAATAAGTTCGAGACCAAGGATGACCCTAATTAATAGAAACAATGAGTTAGTTTTCTTTAGAAGTATCTCATTTACAAAATATTATAAGAT